CCAGGGAACCCCCCCAGCCCCCCCCACTCTGGGGCTGTGATGTCATCAGTGACATCATCAGTGACATCACCATCACTAATGACATCATTGTGACATCACTGAGAGCCCCCAACCCCATTGAGGCCCGTGGGGGGGTCACAAACGCCCCCCACCCCAGAGCCCGAGGGACACACCCCCCTCCAGGGGCTGTGATGTCATCAGTGACATCATCAGTGACGTCAGCAGTGAGGTCGCTGTGCCCCAGGCATGAACCAGGCCCGGGCACTGGTCCCGGACTGGGATGAACTGGGAGCCCTCGCTCTGCCCCCGGCGGATTCGGGAACCGCCCCACGGGGGGGACGGCCCTGCCCAGGCGCAGGGGGGGGAACTGGGATGTACTGGGATGTACTGGGACATACTGGGCTGTAGCAGGCTGCACTAGGGGGTACTGGTCTGTACTGGTGGATACTGGGCTATACTGGTGGATACTGGGCTGCACTGGGTTATACTGGGACATACTGGTCTGTACCGGCCTGTAGGGGACTGCACTATGGGGAACTGGGTTATACTGGACTGTACTGGTGGATACTGGGCTGTACTGGGTTATACTGGGCTGTACGGCAGTATACTGGTCTGTACTGGGTTACACCAGTCTGTACTGGTTTATACTGGTCCGTATTGGTCCACTCTGTGCTGACTTTACTGGTCTGTGCTCACCTGTACTGGTCTGTACTGGCCAGTACTGGTCCAGAGGGGCCTGTACTGCTCTGTACTGGGTTATACTGGTCTGTACTGGGTTATACTGGTCTGCACTGATTTAAGGGCTCCGTACTGGCCGATTCTGCTCTGTACTGGTTTATACTGGTCCACAGGGTCCCACACTGCTCCGTGCCAGTCTGTACCAGTTTATACTGGGTTATACTGGTCTGTACTGGTTTATACTGGTCCAGAGGGGCCCCTACTGCTCCGTACGGGTTTATACTGGTCCGTGCCAGTCTATACTGGTCTGTACTGGTTTATACTGGTCCATACTGGTCTATACTGGTCTGTACTGGTCCGTACTGGCCTGCTCTGTACCGATTTTAGGGGTCTGTGCTCATCTGTGCTGCTCCGTACTGGTTTATACTGGTCCAGAGGGGCCCCTACTGCTCCGTATGGCTTTATACTGGTCCATGCCAGTCTATACTGGTCCGTACTGGGTTATACTGGTCTGTACTGGCCTGCTCTGTGTTGATTTAAGGGCTCTGTGCTCATCTGTGCTGCTCCGTATGGCTTTATACTGGTCCAGAGGGGCCCCCACTGCTCCGTACCGCTCCATACTGGTCCGTACTGGTTTATACTGGTCCATACTGGTTTATACTGGTCCATACTGGTACCTGCTGGGCGAGCTCTCGGGTGGGCGCCAGCACCAGGGCCTGAGTCCCGCGCAGCCCCAGCTCCAGCTGCTGCAGGATGGAGATGGCGAAGGTGGCCGTCTTCCCCGTGCCCGACTGCGCCTGCGCGATCACGTCGTACCCTGGGGGAGACGGGGGGATGTGGGGCGGGACGGGGGGCAGGATGGGGGGAGA